TGGGGGTAGAGCTGCCACCACCCATGGATGGGCTTGATTCTGGCACTGCGCCCCCTGGGAAACACAGGCCTAGTAGCACTTGAGGGTACTTGACTCACTTCAAGAACTTGGGGTGATTCCCTCAGTCAGAAGCACAAGTAGTGGTCTCCCTTATTCAGCTGAACCAAGGGGACCCCAAGGCATAATCTAGACCCACTCCCAATAAGTCTCCCAAGGTAGGTACAAAGGAGAACTTTATTGGTTACAAGGAGTAGGGTTGGAATAGGGTACAGAGTTGAGCAGTACCAGAGAAATCCCATAGAGCAAACAGGGTGCCTGGGGTAGCCTTTGATCACATATCTGAGTTACTGCAAGCTGTATATCTAGTTAGATCTCAAGTAGCTTACTCACAAGTATCATCCAGAGGCAGGTGGAGATTGCCTCTGGAGGCAGGCAGTTCCTTGATCATGAGTTTTGAGAGAGAGAGCAAGTTTCATATGGTTGAGCTCTTCTCTCTCTCTCTGAGTTTTCCTGATGGCTGCTGCCCCTCCTTCTGGGTAGTCCTTAACTTATAGCCCTTATGACCTCATTTACCTGGTCCAATGGAGGCCAGCACCTGTCGGCTGTCAGCCAACCAATTTAAATGCATCGCTGGTTGCTGGGCAGACTGGCAGTCTCTAGACCACCAGGGTGCCCAAGCCCTTCACCCAGGTATGTGATGCCAGTCACGTAGGCAGAGGGAGCAGGTTTCCCCCCTCCCTCAGGAATATATCCAGCTCAGGTTACCTAAAGAGATAGGATAAGGTGTGTATCCTCTGCTGGGCCCAAATTGTCACAGAGCAGAGTTTTTGGGGAGAAACAGAGGTGGCCTTCTGCCACAAGAGCAGGGGTGGGTAGAATATAGCTTGTGGGCCAAATCTGGCCCATGGCAGGTCTTTCTCCAGGCTGCAGCAGGTCCCTCAGTCCCGCCTGGCCCAGGCACTGTCCAGCCGTGGCTTGTCCTGCTGCCCCCTGGGCACACAGCAGGGAGTGGGGCAGGGGTGAATGATTTGCCCCTGCCCCTACCCCACTGCCTCCTGCACTGTGTCGGGGGGGTCTTGATCTCCCCCCACCAATCCCAGGTAAAGAAAGAAACTTACCTACTTACTAGGCTGGCTGTGATCCTGGCTGCACAGGGTATCCGAGTGTGGCCCCCCGCAACTGCAGCAGCCTGTGGCTGGGCTGCCCTGTAGCCATACTTGCTGCCCCCCTAAGCTTGGGGGGGCTGAGCCCAGTTAGCCCCCACTCCTCCCCAGCCTATGGCCCTGACCCCAGGTGCCCTGTGCCTGCTCTGGGCTCACCCACCCAGGCTCAGCAACACCAGTGTGGGATAGAAGCTGCTGCTCAGCGCGGGGTAAATGCAACCCCTCTCCCTCACAACTACCGGCATTTCCTGGTGTAGCCTCATGGAGCCCACACTGGTCTGCCCAGCATCTACACCATGTCACTGCTGCCTCTGGGCTGCCTGGTGGGGCTACAGTGGCAGTGTAGAGCAGACACAGGGCAGTCCAGCACAGCGCAGGCTCCGGGAGGCTATAGCAGAAAGTGCTAGCAGCAGCGATGGGGAGGGATTGCATTTCCCCCAGTGCTGAGCAACAGCTTGTGTCCTGCACTGCTGCTGCTGGGCCTTGGTGGGAGAACCCAGAGCAGGCATGTGGGGTCGGGGCTGTTCAGGGGACAGCAAGACATGTGCGCCGTGGATGGGTGGTGTGGAGTGGGGCAGGTCTGCGCTGTGCCTGGGTTCCAGCTGATCCACTCCGGGAGTGAGTCCGGAGCAGGTGTGGGCTGTGCGCTGTTGGCAATGGCAGGGAGGCACTGCAGAGCATGTGGGGTTCAAGGCCATTGTGGGGCAGGGACTGAATGGCTCGGGTGCGTGTGCGGGGGCTCCCATGCACACCTCCCTACCTGCAAACCTCACAACCACACCGTCCCCCACACACCCACCTGGCACTGGGGGGAGCCCTGCACACTTACACACCCTACCACACACATGCATCCCTCCACATGCACCCCCAGAACCCCCCACAAACTGCACACCCACCCACATACACACACATGCCTGTAGACCCACACTTACAGCTCCCCCAGAATGCCCATACCCACCCTTACTCTCCATCCCCCCACAGCATACAAGAGTAAGAGTTCATTTTGAGCTATTATGCAATCACCTCTATGTACACAACAAAATGCACACAAAAAGGCCAAAAATATATTTTAAAATAAAATTAAAATATGCTATTGTCAGTGTTTTGATTTTTAGTGTATAATTTGTTGGGTTCTTTTTCGGGTTCCAAGATGGCAAACCCCCTTCCCAAAAAGAGTACTTCTGGCAGCAAGGGGAGTGACTTCCGATAGCAAAGGTCAAGGGTTAAGACACGGGACTTCTGGTCCCAAGATGGCAACTGGGGAGGTATGTTGTATTCAAAATGTCATCTCAAATAATCTATAGCTCAATGTATGGTTGGCAGCTGATATCAAGTGGAATGCTTCAGGGGTCAGTCGTGGGGCTTGTTCAATATTTTCATCAATGACCTGGAAGGTGGCATAGAGTATGCACCCTCACTGCAAGTTTGCAGATAACACGAAGCTGTGTGGGGTAGTAGATGCACTGAACAATGTGGCTAGGATTCACGGTGACCTCAAGAAATTGGAGGCTAGGACCAAAAGAAATCTCATGAGGTTCAATAAGGACAAGTGCAAAGTCTGCACTTAGGACAGAACAACCCCATGCACCGCTACAGACTGGGGGCTGACTGGATGGGCAGCAGCTCTGCAGAAAAGGACCTGTGGACAATAAGCTGAATATGAGCCTGCAGCATGCCCTTGTTGCCAAGAAGGCTAATGGCATACTGGGCTGCATTGGTAGGAGTGTTGCTAGCAAATCAAGGCAGGTGATTCTTCCGCTCTCTTCAGCACTGGTGAGGCCACATTTGGAGTATTGTGTTCAGTTTTGGGCCCCCACTACAGAAAGGATGTGGACAAATTGGAGAGGCCAGTGGAGAGCAACGAAAATGGTGGGGGGGCTGGGGCACATGACTTCTGAGGAGAGGCTTAGAGAACTTGGTTTATTTAATTTACAAGAGAGAAGTGCAAGTGGGAATTTAGTAGCAGTTTTCAACTACCTGATGGGTGGTTCAAAAAAGGATGGAGCAAGACTGTTTTCAGTGGTGGCAGATGATTGAACAAGGAGCAATTGTCTCTATTTGCAGCTAGGGAAGTTTAGGTTAGATACTAGGAAAAACTCTCTTGCTAAGAGGGTAATAAAACACTGGAATAGGTTACCCAAGGAGGTTGTAGACTCTCCATCCTTGGAGGTTTTTAAGACCTGGTTAGACACAGCCTTGGCTGCATGATCTAGTTGGGAATGTTCCTGCTTTGAGCTTGGGGTTGGACTAGATAACCTCCTAAGGTCCCTTCCAACCCTAATTTTCTATGATTTTATTCTGTTCACTGTCTAGAGCTGGTCCAAAGCAAGAAGGGGGGTGGGAAATAGCTATTTTAAATTCTCTGCACCTAAATTTAAAATGCCTGTAGCTCATTGAAAAAATAAAGGAAGAATTTTGTTATTTTGTGGATCGTTTTTTTTTCAAATCACAAATTTTAATAATTTCCTGAAATGTGAAAAAGTTGAAATAAAGTGGGATCCACTGTACAGTCTTTTAGGAGGGATCATTTGATTTGTTAAGAATGCATCTTAGCAGCTTCTTCTGTAGTGTATCTAATCTGGGTGTGGCTAATTTGGCATCTCTTCACTTCTCAGTTTTGCTTCTTTCAAAACTATTCATAATTGAAACTCAGATTTCCTTTAGGAGTTGTACCAAATGGGAAAAAAAACAACCCCCAAATCACCAAAAATATATGTTAGCCAGAAGGAAATGTATGTTGTTTAAAATGTCACCTCAACTAAGCATTGAAGATGCACTCTGCACAAACAAAATAGCTGATCTTTCCTCTGAGCCTGGCAAAACCTTCCACAAGGCATCTAATGCCATTGCTCAGAAGTTTAACTAAAATGTGTGCTGTTTTCTAATTTAAATCCACTCTAAATACAGGAGGAAACCCAAACCTAAGCCCTCTGACTAATTGGCTTTTCATAGCATGTTCAGAGTACTGCTTGCAGTGCAGTTTTAGCTATCCGTAATCCACATCTGGGTAAAA